ATATATATATATATATATATATATATATATATATATATAATAATAATAATAAGAATGCATTGTTCATGAACTTCTACTAGTTTCGAATAAACTAGGTACCGTAGTCGCGCATTGGCCGTTATACTGCATTTAGCAGTTACATTTGTACGTACAATATCAATACATTCCTAACTAACAATCGCATAAACTAGAAAACACTATTTAACATGCCAATATTCAATTGCTATTAAATCTTTCTGCTCAAACATGACACCAACAACGACATTTGCAACATTTGTTACAACACTGTCTACAACACATACTACATTTTCGTGTACAATAGTAACACTGGTTATTGTCAATCACGTCACACGAGAAACAGTAAACATATCTCTTGCTACCGAAACATGACATCGACAACGATCGATACTACATTTTCACATACAATATTAAAACTGCTTACCGGCACTCACTCCAGGAGAGAGTATGTTTGGTGTCATTTATAATTTACTTCACCAATTTTTGTCAACGTATGTTTTAAAACACTCCCACTGGATACGCTTGTTCTTTTATAGACCTTATGAAACATATGAAATTTTCAATTCATTTAACAGAAACTTGGATGAACTTGCCGAAGTTTCATACACTGTCCGATCAGCACAATTTTGAAATATATTACTAACAACGATATTCCAAGCAACGTTTTCGTTTGCACCGAAGCCGGATCTATTGGGTTGGCAACTAAGTAATTGCCATTCAATGAAATAAAAAATTTCATTTTACTTGGAACGAAGTTTAATCTGTAATGTATTTTCCATTTCGTTCGCGATGACCTTTTGCCATCTCTCCGACAACTTGAAAATTCCACGCTCGTAGAAAGTCTGATCCTGTTCGACCAAAAACTGAGTTAAGTGTAACTGAAATCGGCAATTACTTAGTTGCCAACCCAATATTTTACTTTCCAAGATATTGTTGATGCGCTAACACTGATTACTGGCAATTGGAAAGGGAGACAGTGCACACACAATTTCTCTCACACAATTTCTGTCAAAAGCTGAACATCAACGAAGACAAATTATGATCGACGGTCCCCCCAAGCAGGAAATAAATTATCCAAAAAAAAAACGACGTAAAATAATGTCCATGCCTGGTAATAATTTAGCGGATCTAAAATGGCAAGTGGCAGAATCGGAGCACCCACTTCTGAAAACAGGGAAAAGGGGAAGGAGAAGGTAGAGAGCAGCACGTAGGATAAATAGAGCGAGCGGAATCGCAGCGGGGCCTCGGGGTAATCCTAAGTTAGCCGACTCGGACAGGAATCACGGGGACAGGTTAAATTCTTTTAAAACACGGCTCCCGTTCCCCCAGGACACTCGCCAGACTCTCTGTTTTCGGGGATTAGTGCTCGATTTAATAAATACGCGTGTATCCGTGTAGGTACCAACAACGGCGGCCGGGGGCTAATCCAGTTCGGGAACGGATCCATCCTCTGGGCGTTTTTTTCCTTGCTGCGGCTTTGCCGGGCAGACGGTGGGACGTAATCTGTCACAGCCACCACTCCCGGCCATAGTTTTCTACGGCTTATCCGTCGGCCTGCGACGCCGACGCCGACGCCGACGCCGACGCCGACGCCGACGCCGATGTCAGGGGACGGCCGCGCGCGTTAATGCCACCGCTCGAACGAAAAAGAGGGAAAAACCGCGCGGAGTGAGCCACCGCTCGCAATCCTCCCCGCGTGTCTTTCT